TTCATTCTCTTGCAAGGCTCCCTGTGGCCTGTCCCACCTGGCTTGTCCCCTCCTGTCAGTATGAGAGTGCACTACTGAGACATTAGCTTCTTCTCAGCTAATTCCTAAATTTCACGCACTTCTCTATTTTGCTGCTTTTTAGGATAATTTTCCAGCAAATAAAATTTATTTACTCATTCTGAATCATAGGACCTTTTTTATTATGCCTACAGGAAAGCTGACAATAGTCAAACAAGAAGTCCAATGAAACCTCAAACTAGTATTCACTCTCTGTCTTCCTGTCTTTTCCTCCTTTCATTTCCATATGGGCTGGCTGGCTTGTTTTATAATTTGAAGGTTAGTTATTTTGGATGGGAATCACTGCTTTTTTTTTTTTTTTTTTTTTTTTTTTTTTTTTTTTTTTTTTTTTTTTTTTTTTTTTTTTTTTTTTTTTCCCAGTCATATTTCTTCAGCAATGTTGAGGGCCTTTAAGTGTTAGACTCTAACATATTTCAGCATGGAGGTCTGAAACACAGGTAGACATTTCAGTAAATATATTCTCGTAAAAGTACACTTTTACTGAGTACTCCTATCTCTCCACCTGGGCATGAGAGTATTTAATGCCACCTGTGCTATGCAAACATTAAAGATTTTAAGACTATCCTATTCTAATTACTAATCCTTATGAGAAGCAGGGAACGTTAATGCTATTGTACTGCTCTAAGTGCTAAACTACATACACAGACTACCTTTCCATAATATTGGATTACTGCAATGTTTAATGGAATTGTCCTGGTAGCATCTTTCTCAAATATTTAAGAACCACTGTTTGTATAATACGGACAGTAATTGGCATGAATTAAACACCTTGCCAATGGTCTTATGTTAAGTCTGCAACAGAGCAGAGACTTTGATGCTGGTGTCCTAACTTCATAGCTGTACTAGTGCATCTTAATAACACAGTTATGCTTCATGATGTTTTAAATCAATCTGACAGCATCAGGGCTTGAAAGGTATTGTGAACAATGCAGACTTTGCAGAAATCCAAACAGTATACATTTACCATAAATACTACGGATGGGTAATTACATATTACAAATTTTGAAGCATGAAATAATAATTTTAATGATTGCATGAAGCATGTACTCAAGCACAAATACAGGAAGGAACGAAAAGAAATTCAGACTAATATATAGCACATAAAAGTCCATGGACAGGATCACTTTGAAAATGGTCAATACTTTTGTGTAACAGTTTATTTATGGTTTTATTTATTTGGTATGTAAATTACCATCAATAATGCAGATGCAGTACATAAGAAATGCCTTTCTTCCACTTGTTTTACTGGAATAATATTACACAGTTAATCTTTTTGAGGGCTATATAACTAAAACCCAAACTGGATAAGATGATGCCTTCACATTAGTCTTATTCCCATAACTCAGGCACTTATCTCCACTAAAATCAATAGATTTTTGAGTGTGCGAGAAGTAAAAGACAAGCATACTAAATACTTTTAATCCTGTGTTGGCAAATAGATTTGTAATTCTGTTACACTTATCTCTAAGGCTGATCTCTACTTTGCATATTTTCAGAGTTTTGATCTACAAATGGGTTTTAATTTGTTGACTTTTGCAAGAACAGACTTGTGGGAGTGAGGGCAGGTCATGCATAATCAAAAAGTAAAACAAAGACAAAAGAAAGATGCAGACACTCTGAGCTCAATTTCTGTATGAAATACAATTAACATTATAATTTCCTTGGACCACACAAAGACCTTCCTGCACTAGGTGTCCTGCATATGTAGGGGATTTTTGAAAGATTCAAGAGATCTCGATCTAGGCAAATGGTACAGGGTCTTATGAAATGAACATGAAAAATGTAGGCGTGCTTTTGTCTCTCTTTGGCACTTGGTAAGAGGCACAGAAAGATGAAAGGACTTTCAAAAGAACATTGTGATAGATCTGGAAGCAGAACCCTCTGACCTAAACCGCAGCTCAGGGCCTGAACTGAAAAGCTTTTCGCCTTCTCTTAGAAGACAAGAGTTCAATGAACTGTGGAAATGAAGAAAATTGTACATAGGCTCTGTAGGTAGAATTAGACATTGATATGTGTGAGTGCTTGAGAAACTGCCAGCTTACGAGAAACTTTCAACTGTATGACAAAAGGCTGGGATGCAAATGCCATTTATACTCAGAGCCAATGACTACCTTAAGCCCTGATAGGGCATGCCAGGATCAACAGTGGTGTATAACCTGCACTGTGTCCCTCCCAAGCACTGCCCTCCCCATGGTGAAGTGGCAGCTATGCTTCCTATTGTTTAGAGGTAGGAAGTTTCAGTCAGACTCCACTCTGCAGATACTATACAGAATGCAACTCAAATAGTTGCAAATCAAAACCCCATTAGTACGACTGACCTCATTCTTTACCTGGAAAAATTCTCTCCAGAGATCAGTCATTTAAGTATATCTATCCTTGATAACCCAGTAGGCCTGAAAATGAAATAGCTTCTCTAATGCAAGCAACAAGAATCAATAGCCTTTAAACACACAAGGACATTTTATTGTCTGAAGCATATATGAGTCATGCCATCACTATACCAGTTCATTTTTGTAATTTGTAGACATAAGGACAGGCAGAGTTTTGGTCCTTGCAGAGAATATTGGATGGGCCAGATGCTCAAGACTTGGGAACTCTGTAAATGAGACTTTCCTGGTAGAGAAGTGCCTAGTGGAGAGTACGTGAGCACAGGCTACATTAAGGGTTGGTTCTTTCCAACAAAAATATTGAATTAGTTGTGGCCAAAATTATGCATTTTTTCTGCATTTATCAGAAAACCTTTAAACAGGTGTTGTCAAAGTGCGATGAAGCTAAGATCTCACAATTGCATATTCAGCTACAATATTGATCAAGAATTGGGGAGGGCAGGAAATGAGGGAGTTTTTGCCATGGAAATACAGAATCACAGATTCACAGAATTGTTAGAGTAGGAAGTGACCTCTGGAAATCATCTAGTTCAACTCTACTGACAATGCAATTCCTTAAGAATTCCACTGATTGACACAAGGGGAAGAAAAGGGAGGAGGTATATATTAGAAGGGGGTCTTAGGCAATTTGGAAAGTCTGTTCCTCTCAAGTACCTCAGCCAATGGGGAAAGAGAATGGGAAATGTGGCTGGGAAATTCAGATAAAAAGGAGGCTGACTGAGTCCTCTAACAATTAGAGAGACCCCATGGGAAATGCCGATGACCTCTCCCTTTATTCAAATAAAGTAACTCTTTATTTGAATAAAGGGGACTCCTCTGTCTCCTTTTTGGACATAAACCTCTGATGTTTGTGGATGAATTTTCCTGACACAAACAGTGCTTTTCTTCTAACTTTGTATTATATGTCACTGAGTTTTACTAGTTAATTCCTCTGTTTCCCATTTAAACAAATTTAATATGGGAGTGAATTTACACTATTAGAAAAAAATAGCCACAAAGGGAAATGTGAAATTTATGTAAACAGTAGTCAAGCACAAGGTTTGTAAAATTGACCCATACTTTGTGCAGCTCTGTACCTGTGATAATCACATTTAGAGTAACATGAATGGGTGTATAACACAGATGTAGTTAGCTACAGTTAGCAGATTACTAATGGCTTGTTATTTTGAATCATTACTTTAACTTGAAAAGAATGAGTTTATCCAAAACCAGCTCTATTTAAACACAGACACAAAAAAACTTGTTGAATCAGGAACAGAACTGAGCTTGAACTACATATACCTCGAATTTCTTGTTCCTCGTTCATTAAATTAAAAAAAAAAAAAAAGACAGGAAAAATATCCTGGTTATCTGTTTTTGAAGGCTTGAGAGTAGGAGGGCTCTGCAGAGGGATCTGGGCAGGCTGAACCAATGGGCCAAAGCCAATTGGATGAAGTTCCACAAGGCCAAGTGCCAGGTCCTGCACTTGGGTCACAACAACCATAGACACTGCCACAGGCTGGGGACAGAGTGTCTGGAAAGCTGCCCTTTGGAAAAGGACCTGGGGTGCTGGTCAACAGTGACTGAACATGAGCCAGCGAGAGCCCACGTGGCCAAGGCAAATGGCATCCTGGTCTGGATGAAGGGAAATCAAGCTTGCACCAGGGAAATTTTATGTTGGATATTAAGAAAAAATTCTTCACCAAAAGGTTTGTCAAGCTCTTGAACAGGCTGCCCAGGGCAATAGTGGAGTTTCCTTCCCTGGAAGTGCTTAAAATATGTGTAGATGTGGCACTTAAGTGCAGACTTCAGTGTTGGACTTGGAAGTCCTGGGTTAAGGGTTGGGCTTGATGATTTTAGAGGTCTTTTCCAACCAAAATAATTCTATGAAGCTATAATTCCATGAGTAAAACTTGAGTGATATAAAATGCTGGGGAATAGATAGATGGAAAAGCTACCCACTTTTTGGATAGCTGTCAGCTCCATTATACATTTTTTCCCCCAAGTGAACAGTTTTCATCCCTTATAAATTTTATGCAGTGCAACATTGGATTCTTGTACTCCTAAAAAAGATTTAAGATCTTGGGTTTTGATTTTCATATAAGTGTAACGTTTTTGGGAGGGGAGGGAAAACCTCTCCTATTGTAGTCTAGTGTCAATTAATACAGTTAAAGACAAACTGATGATATTTAAGTCCTGTGAACTGATTTGTGAATCTATTTTTACCATTGGTTTGTCTTTTGTATTTAGTTTCATATGTAATTTGGCTTTCACAACAATATCTGTAACTTGCTATTATGTCAAAACTTATATATTATAGTATCAGGAAAACAGAGTGTACCTTGTCAGTAGTTCCTAGTACAATAATAAATATGTATGTTAGAAATTTTTGCATGCAGCTATCTTGAAGTGGCTGAATGACAACTGAGTTTCATAACTAAACTAAGACACAAATCCAGGGTTTGTGAGTGAATGCCACAATCATCCACTATTCCAATAAAGACAAGAAGAAATCCTGCAAAGGCGGTGGAATTGAAGTAATTTGTAAACACTTACTGCAAGGAAGATCTGAAGAGAACTGTGAGCCACTTCTATGTACTGATATTCAAGGAAACACCCCGAGACAGTGATATAACGATGATCCTCTGGTGCCCACTCTGGTGCTGGGGTTACTGAGGTCACGGTGCAGCCCGGCCCATTCTCCATCCACCAGGAACGGTGCATTGAGATGTTAAAGGTCAGAATGAGATCTGTTTCCTGCAGAAGAACAAGAGAATTAATGTGTGGGGATGGTACTGTGGTATCCAATGCCTCAGCAAGGGATTTCACAGCATGCATAAAGAAGCAAAGAGCTGCAATAAAACTGCGCTGTCACATGAAAGTTAGTGGAGCTTGCCTGCTGCAAGCAGAAGTAGCTGTACCTTGTCAGGCAGAAATGCTTTGGAGCAGAAAAATAATCCTGCAAGCCAGAATCTGTTCCTAGACATCATGGCAGCCTAGACCATAGCACTCATTTCTGTAATTGCCATTTTCCAGTGGATACCATAAGGATAGATGGCCCATGTTTTGTTGGCCTGATGTACCAAACTATAAAAGCATCCCCCAGAATTAAGACTTCATACACTTTAATATACACACATCATCTGCAAGGAGGTTTTCCTCATGGACCCAGTGAAGGAGAGCTCTACTGGAATACTGGAGACGATTGAAGAAAAGGATCCTGTACATTTGCTTGTGGGAAAATCTCTTTACAATGCCTCTGTCTGATTGCTAATATCCTAGGATCCTGCAAGGAAATAGTGAGTGCTGCCTTGTCTAAAGACTACTGGGCTAGTTAAAAAGAGGGGCAGAGGTGTGCAACCTTTAACTCCCACACAGCTAGTGTGATAGTGGAATAACTAGTCAGCCATGCCTTCCATTAGGATTGCATTTATAAATAGTTCATAAAGGATTAATGAATTATTAATACACATCATAAACAATACTACGGATATTGCTTTCATAAATTATATGTGGTTGCACATTACTTGAAGGTGTTACAGATAGCTATAACAAAACTATGGACTCTGTGGATTCTGTAACAGCCTACAGTGTTTACCAACATTTTATAAATAATTTATAACTGTAACCTCATTGTAAAGTGTGGCTATCTAGTCTTTGCACACATGTGCCCAATCATGCAAAAAAAATTGCTTTTAAGTAATGTCTTTGCAGAGCTGAACTCTCCCCACACCTAACCTACATTTTTCAGCCTGTTGATGTCATTAATAATTAAGATTCTCATAAAGATTTTAAAATGTAACTATTTAATTAGGCTTACCATGCCAAAGATAATAGAATGCTATTCTATAGCAGATAAGTTGTATTCACATTTCCCTCTCTTCAAAAGAGCTGTTTTTTCAGTCCTACTTATTTCACTTTTTTGCACTAACTTATGAAGAGGTAACTCCATCCAGAGAGGTTTTGGATAATGTCACATGTCAAGCGATCTGTGATTGCACTTGACGCTGCAGTGTAGCTTAATGTTTTTTCTCTGATTTGCACTTTGTACCAAAAGTATGGAAAATTTTGACATTTAAAAAAATAATAAGTCACTATCCTGCATAAGCACACACAGCTATCAGATGGCAGGAAGGACTTAAATATGTTTGCAATGAATAATTACCCTTCATTCCCACAACAGTCCAATCCAGCAAACAATGAGCTGTATGAGAATATTTAAAATGCTTCATATGTATTTAATCATACAATTAACTTCAAGCACTTGTTAGTTTTGATCAAAGCTACAGCAAACATTTATATAAACTATGCAAATTGTGCCCAAATATATAAATTGATGTATGGTTATAAGTTTTCATCTCCAAAAACCATCTCCTTTCTCTGTATTTTTCCCTACTAATGCCATAGACACTGGAAAGTGTCTGCCACGTGGTCCTTGGAAATGGGAATTTTTACCTTTCACCCAAGCCAGAAGATTATTTTTCTTTTTGAAGGCAGGGCTGCTGCAGCCCCTCAAGTAGAACACTGGTCTTCTCACTTAGAATAAGAAGTTGTAGAATAGACATCTTTGGAGTAACTTTGCCTAAAGTAATAGATTTATTCCTAAATTACTGAAACTGGAATCCATCATATTATTGTCAAAAGAACTTTCAACCATTATAGTTACCATGGAAAATTCAAAACCTCTACTCTCTTATCAGAGATGCAGCACAAATGAATAGGACTCATTGTCTATTTCTGTTTTAGCTTTGCAATACCTTGAGAAGAATCATGATGGACTAAATATATTTTACAAACTGCAGACTAGGGATGAAAAATGTATTCCTTGAAAAAGAAAGTGATAAACCGGTTTGCAGGAACTGAGTATTTGTTATGCATTTGCCAGATGAAGTGAAAATGGATCAAGAGGAGCTAAACATAAAAATCAAAATTGGGCTCTCTGTGTAGAATATAACTTCTCTAGGGGCAGCTATTTTTGCTTATCACAGATTCAATAATAAAAAACTTTATTAGTTAAAACCACAAGTAAATTTCCAAGTTACACGGGAAATATAATTGCACATTAAAATATTTAAGATTACATATGTAAATAAAATCATTCACAAAATCTATTTTCCTTCCATCCCTGAATTTATCCTCAGATGATTTTGTAAAATATTTACATATTTCCTTTGCATTCAAATAATCTTTTGGCAGTTAAGTTGAATGTTGTGATTAGGATTTGTTTTGTTCAGAAATAGTCTTTGAGTGTTTGAGTGCTCACCAGTGAAAAAGTTATAGATCTCTAACAGACCTATATTCTATTTCTTTCTTAGAATAATCAGTAAAACACTATTCTGTTTTTTTTTTTTTTTTTTGTCTTAAAATAGATCTGATACCCAGCATAGAAATGTTATATTCTTTAATTCTTAATAATAATAATAAATAATAATCCTACTGAAAGTCACAGCTTCAAATATTAAAGAACTTTTCATCACATGATTGAGAAAGCTTTCAAAAAGCAGTTGTTACATACTGAGCCAGTTAATCAAAAAGGTCAACTTCAGAAAGCAAAATAATAAAACATGAAATCTGGTTCTGTGAGATTAGACACCATTCATGTCTCAGGTACAACTTGGATGGATTAAGAATAACAATGAAATAAAATCTTGAGAAGTCAACATGTAAGTCAGACTTTGCAAATTTCTATCCCCAAAATATCTGGGCTCAGAATAAACATAGAAGGAGCCTATTAACTACAAAGCTGCTGCACAGTTAAATCTTAGGTATAAGTTGTTATATGCTTTGAACTTCCCTATAACCTTCAAGCCATGCCCCCTTTCATACAACCATATTAGTAGAGCAGCTCCTGTTGCTCAGTATTGAAGGTCACCCAGCTTATGAAAAAGTTTCCCTTAGTGAGAAAACACTTAAGGAATTGAATCTTCTTTTAGAACTGTGGAAGCCAAGAAGGGGATGATCTATCTATCATTAACATCTCTTCTACTGACAGCATTTAGAGCTATTTTTGGACAAACTCTGCTTGCTATTTATTTTGTTCACTGTTTGAATACAGTTTTAGTGGACATAGACAAAGTCTACAAAGGAATCTGGGGATTTATTATGCTCTCTAGTGTATTTGCCGTCTGTTTCCCTTCCAACATCTGTGGCTCAAACTTTGTTCAGGGAAATGCAGAGAAATGGTCTGATAAGCCTCGAAGCTATGAAAACTAACGAGAATTGTTGATACACATTGGGCAAGCCAATATGTTGTTGTTCAAAGTCTGTATGTCAAGGAAGATTTCATTATCCTAAATTCAACAAACAGCTGCTTCCTTTGTGGACATAGAAATACATCTGTAAGGGCTTTATTGCCTATCACTGTGCTGTTTTTGTAAATTCTGCTGGTATTTGTAAAGCTTTTTAGTGAAAATTGGTGCATTAAAGCAGGTTTTGATACTCATCAAGAAAAAAACCCAAAGGAACACATTTTGTAGGACATCTTTGCTGACATTCTAAAGATGTGTTGATATTTGTAGTGGTCAGGAAAAATACTGCTAGATTAGACAAATCTTGAAGTTTGGAGGTCTCAGAGATTCAGATTTATGAGATTAGGATATGAGACATCTTCAAATTACATCTGTAATTTTATTTCAGCTTAGTTGGTAAAAAAGCTCTGATGGTTTAGGGACTATGTTTAATACAGTAGATTGCAACCTTCTCAGGGGTCAACTGCACAGTACATAGCATTCTCTGGCTGAGGACAGCTGATAACAGAACATGGCAACATAATGCTTTGTAAAAGCTGCCAGAAAAAGAATAAAAGCTTCTTTGTAATCAGACACAGCAGGAGGACAGCACTGCTTGAAAGGAAAGACAGCTCTTTGTGTATTGTATTAGTACTAGCACATGCTAGTAAGTGAGCTGTCTCTTTGCAGAAATCACAATATATTACTGTTTCGATGATTTTTGTTGGTTGCACCTCAGAGAAGCTAATTCCAAACAGTGCCACGAGAAAAAAGAGGCAAGAGTTGTGCAGGGTGATTCTCCTTGAAAGCCCAGGAGATCTCGCAGACTCAGGGAAGTTGAATTGTACTGATTTCAATGGTTGTGGCTTGCTGTGTCATGGGAAATGATTTCTTCTATTTTTCTAATTAGGAATTGCTGAAATCTGTGCAAACCTTCCAAGTCTCTGCACATCTTTTGTTGAATACAACCGTGTAACCACTTGTTCCATTTATCAAACTCAAACTAGCAAGCACAGGCTGCTTGGAGAGTGAACAATCACACAAGGTTTCAGTGATAAAAGATCAGGGTCTGAAAGCATTTGTAGTTTTGGATGCCTAGGATACACTGAGCCTCTACAGGATTTTATTTTTCTTCTGTTATCTCACTTTTCCACTAAAACTAACTCCCACCAGGCAGTGCCATTTCCTCATGCAAGCAGACTTTTCCCTGTCTAAAGAAAAAAACTCTCCTCACTGAAGAACCAAAATAGAGCTTGTCAGCTGTGGGGTTTTTTGGTTTTGGGTTTTTTTTCCTTGGTTTTTTTTGGGGGGGATTTTTTTTTATTTGTTTTTTTTTGTCTGCTTTTAAATTCAAAGTTGATCTATAGAAAACAATTATTGTATAAATCTTTAGGGAAAACAGATATTTAAAGATAATATTTTTCTATTTAGTTGCTTCTGAATTGTGTTTTTTCCTCCCTAATTTTTATATGTGTGTGATGTTTTTTCTTTAATTTGAATTTTTTTTCAGTAACCTGGAATTTGCTTTTT